GATCTAATCAGAAGCTACTTAACTGGCTAACAATGATCATACTCGTGTACTAAAAATGAACTTGAAACAGGGAAGTAGTGACTGGTCCAATTTGAAAGCTCTTCGTATTCTTCATCCTGGCTGTAATAATAGCCATTATTTGTTAAACCTTTCTTATGTACCAGACACTCTTAAGGATTTTATGTGTATTATTCAAACTGATATTACTCTGTTCTTTTTATAGTTGAGAATCTCAGGATACCTATATTTATCACTTTTTCAATATATATGTATTTCTTATTGTCTTGGAGTGTTTAATGTGTTATATATCCTGTTCATTACTTTAATATTATAGGATCTAGGCTTATCTTTATTACCATGAGCAAGGCTTCCAGGAGTTCCACAGTACTGAAGGAAAATTTTATCATATCCCTCAGGAGAACTGAATAGTTACTGTTGGTATTGGCTCCTTTGTTTCTTCTATTCTCCCAATTAATAGATTTTAAATGAAATCTCATTAGCTAGAAACAAAAGCCACTTATTCCTTGCTGAGTGCCAGTTACTTAAATATATTGCTTCCTTATAATAAAATAATTTGCTTATAGGCGCAGAAATCTATCTTGCCATACCCTTTGGTTTTTAAAGATTTCTCTTCTATTTGCATTTCTGCACTTTGGTGGTTCTCCCATGAAGATAATTATGGTGTCATAAAATTCACATTCCACTGGTTCCTTTGAATCTTACCAACCACTCTTGTTTCAACAGACAATGAACCTGAACTGTTTTAGTACTCTTGTTATTACTGAGACAGGTCACAAATATCAAAATAGGAGTCAGTGGCTTGTAGTGATGCTTTTTAGTCTTGTGATAGCACAATCCATCACTTTCCCCAAAATTCTTGTCACAAGAACATAATGAAACTATGTAAAATACCCATTTATGTGGCATTTTATTCACTTAAGTTGCAGTTAACTCTAAGCCAAATTATACCATTTTTTCTCTCTGTACTTTAGCTCCTTGAATTTCCTTAATCTGGGAAACTTTTGTTCCCACACAAAGGAACAAATTCAGGGGGTACAAGTGCAGGTTTGTTATATGAGTATGTTGAGTGATGCTGAGGTTTGGGGTACAGATCCCATCACCAGGTGGTGAGTATAGTACCTAACAGAGAGTTCTTCAACCCGTGCCCTCCTCCCTCCCTCCCTGCTCTATTAGTCCACAGTGTCTATTCTGGTCTGGGAAATTTTCATTACTTTCCACCAATCTTCTATTTATTCTCCAAATGTCTTTCAAAGTATCCTGCCCCACCCCCTCCTCATCCTAAGAGCGTCCTTTAACTTCAAGATCATGTCCGGTGATTGCTGAAAAATGTCTGCCATGCACTTGCTAATAGTCTTTTTAGACATTAACATTTATTATCACATCCATATTTAAATTTTTGAAATAATTTATACTTCTCACTGGTATCATCTAAACAGATGCTTCTCACAGTTTTATGTTCTGCTTTTTCTCAGGGATGAAAGACAAGTGAGTGGTATCACTTAAGGGAAAGACCAGTGGGCTTAACGAATAGCAGACCTGGATTCTAGTTCTGGCTTTGTCATTTACTAGCTCTGGTACCTCAGGCCAGTCACTTGCCATCTCTGGTTTGGTTCTCATCTATCAAACAAAGTGGCTAGACAAGATTAGAAACTAAAGGCAGAAGACAAGGTAGAAAAATCATGATTTTGGGAAGAGCATTTTGTCCTTTGGTTTAGAAGACCAGGCTGCCCAAAAAAGCCTCCTATTTTATCCATAACCCCTGATGATAAGGTTGGTGGGAACGGAGTTTCTAATAGCAATCACAATACATTTCAGAAGAGTTTTAAAGCTGGGATTTTAAAGGTCTTCTGGTCAACCCCCTTGATTTATATGGGGGATGAAACTGAGGCCTAGAGCAGTTGTAATATGTGCAAAGTCATAGTGACTGGCCTTCTAGGCCCCGGGTTCCTGTGTAACACAGACACCCCAACTACTTTGTCAGCTACAATGAAATGCTCATTAACAGAATCTTTCTGCAAGTATAAACAGAATTTATTCTTTATAAAACAGCTGGCCACCACTAACCATGCCCAATCTTTACAACTGCTTCTGACATTCATTTATGACTGCTTTGCTCACATTTAGGAATCAACTTTGAAAAAAATACTTTGTTAGAAATAGTGCCAAGTTTTCACTACATCTACTCTAGTTTCTGTATTTCTTTTTGTACTTTTAAATTTTATACATCTTTTTATAACAATTTTATACAATTTCCTTTACTACAACATCCAAGCAATTCATTAGCTGACTACAGCCCAGATGAAGGTTAAATGCCTATTACATCTGCCTCATTAAAGAACTTCATTGTAATTCTTGGGCAGTTTCCAGACTCTGTTACAGAAACAGAGGGCTGTTCCTTTTTGTTGTCTTTGAACTTTTCAAATTAATTCAAAACTAGTATCTAATTGTCCTTTTTGCTGTGGTATGTGGTGTAATGTTGATTGGGAATAAGAATTATGGTACAAATAGCAGATGTTTCAAATTCTCCCATATTAGTCTCTTAGGGACACTAGCGCCAGAGTCCAGCCCCTGGGGCAATAGGCTCTGTCAAACTTGTGAGAATTTTGCAGGTGTTACAAAAAATATTGCTGTTAAAAACTACGACTCAAAACCAAAAGTTGTGATTAATAACAACAGGATTATTAGCAATAATATTTTGATTAATACTATAGAATAGCAAAGAGTGAATGTACCTCAAATTGAAAACTTTTAGGTTGTGTTCTTGGCTCTCTCTCTCATAACCCTGGATCTAAGTTGGAAAGCTGTGGCACCCTGTTTGGGTGTCCCATCTACCCTGTTTTCTATTTCTGCAGATGGCTTGTTCAAACTTCATTTTAAGCCTGCTCTGTCTACTTTAATCTTACTTATATCCTAACAGACTTCTCTTGTGTTAGTACACATTTCTCTTTTGCTCTAATATTTCATGATTTTCCAGTTTGTCGGTACTGTTATTAGAGGGACAGGGAAGGAACAACACACCAGTTGACCATTTTGTTTCTCTGAAAATGTGAGCAATAAGGAGATCCTTTTATTAGTAAAACTGAATCATTACTCATACTACAAGGGCTTTCACTTCTAAAATGTAATCTATCATTGCTTCCATTTTTATGAACACCAAAGTTGAAAAATTTTCTGAATCACAGGCTACATATAGCCACATATGCATGACTTCAAGCTAGCATAAAGACATGTCTGCTCCTGAGCCTCTTCTTTTAAAGTGGGACAGCCACTGTATACCCTCTGGTGGCCCACTCCTTCTCCACTCCAGGGCAGCCCTGGTACTTTCCTAAGCGGCCCCTCGTACAGAGCGCTTGCTGCCGGTGAAGACTGCCCCTTACTAGCTTCTGCAAGAAGGGATCCCAGACACACACTTTGGTTTCTAGTATTTCAGTTACTATGTTGTATTTGAAATTCTCATTCCACAGTTCCCCTTTAGTTGAAGTCCTGAAGTACATGCCGTGTCTCCCCCTTTATTTCTACCTTGATCAATGGCCTCTGTGGAGTGTAGTGAAAGACACCTTTTTATTATGATCCATAACTAGACACTGCACACTTCAAAAAACCAAAGGCTGCCTGTATTACATTGCTTTGGGGAGCTGTTAAGACTCTATGTTTTTCTACTGCTTCACATTAAACAATAATTTTGTTGAATTTTGAATTCTTAAAATTCTCACTGACAAACATTTTAAGTCAGTGTTGAGGAAAATGTGTGATGCATGTTAGAGAGGTAATGCATTCTCCCTTATGCAGGGACATGGGTATATGTGTTACATATGCTGATATATAACCCACCATTCATCCCAGGACCACAAGGGTAGCTGTAGATAAATTGGTTATCCTAAAATCATGATCATCAGTGTTGATCTCTGCAACCAACATTGCTTTATGGAGTTGCTAATCATTACCCTTACTACAATAGAATTTGTCAGTCTAAGTTATAGACAAAAAATTCTAGGTTGACTGATTAAGAAAGCCATGTGTTTTAATTTCCTTTATGTTTTAAAAACAATGGACATCAGTGCAGAGAGACCTTTGAAAATATTAAGGGAGATCTAGTTAATCCTATAGGTACGTGATGACTGTTTTTTTTGAAAAAGATATTTGGGACATCAATCTGTAATTGTTAATTTTCCATTCATGCATTCACTAATTCAATATTTGATATGTGACTGGGAGTGCTAGGAATAACATAAACACAAAAAATAACTAAGATAATCACCATTCACCGGAAGCTCATAGGTGGCATAATACAAGTATATAGCTAAATGCAACCAGTTGTTTTTCCAAATGTATTCATCATCTGTAATAAAAGAAAAATGAAGTAAAACATCTGAAACCTTAACTTACGAGTTGCTACTTCTTTGGAGGGAACTGTAGAAGCATTAATATATGGTTCTTTGGGTTGGGTCATACTGCCCTCTGCTGACTCAGTTATTAACTAAGGAGAACCTGGGTTTGAGGATCAGGAGAGGATAGTATGGGAACTTGCCTCAGAAATACAGTTCCCTTTCTTTGAAGGATTCTATCCAGAAGACACCATATCCTACTAACATTCTAAGGATCAACAGAGCAGATCAAATGATAAGGCAGGGTGGATATTAGAAGGGAATGGGAATAAGCTAGTAAGAACTTTCTAAGGTAACTAGGCCATTAGGACCTAAGCCGGTGGTCCCTAGACTTGTCTGCACATTTGAATCACCTGGGGAACTTTAAAAATATGCCTTTTACTGCCTCCAGGGATTGTGACTTAATTGGTCTTATATGAGGCTTGGGTTTTGGGATTTTTCTAAGATTCAACTAAGAGAGAAGTTGGGAATTTCTTCTAGGCAATAGCATAAGCCCACCCAGGGTCCAGGATTTATGAAAAATTGACAAACTGTTTTGCTAAGAATCACCTGTGTTAGTCCGCTTGCGTTGCTATAAGGAAATACCTGACAATTTTTATAAAGAAAAGAGATTTATTTGGCTCACAGTTCTGCATAGAACTGTATAGGAAGCATGGCACTGGCATCTGCTTCTGGTGAGAGCCTCAGGAAGCTTACAATCATGGCGGAAGGGGAAGGGGAGCCAGTGTGTCACATGGTGAGAGACAGCAAGAGAGAGAGGAGGAAGTTCCAGGCTCTTTTGAACAACCAGCTCTTGCGTAAACAACCAGAGTAAGAACTCACTCATTACTATGGGGATGGCACGAAGTCACGCATAAGGGATCCGCCCCCATGAACCAAATACCTCCCACTAGGCCCACCTCTAACACTGAATGTCACACTTTGAACATGAGATTTGGAGGGGACAAAACATCCAAACCATATCACTACCTGAGAATGGTACACTACAGGTCACACAGAAACTTCCAGAGTACTGGAGTTGAAAGAAAACTGAGATCACCTAGTTCAGAGATTAAAAATGGAAAACGTTAGGTCATTTATGGCTCTCAGACATGTTAAGCCTGCATAACATTTTTTAAAATCTTGAAATTAGTTCCCAACACTTAACTGAAAGCTTTCACAGAAAAATATAGATATGTGGCTTTAAAAAAAAAAAAAAAAAAGAATATTTGGTACTTTAAACACTGTAAAATTAACATTTATATCTGAATCCAGCATCTCTTTTTGCTTTGTAAATGAGGTCAAGGATGAAATCCAGATGTTCTCCCTTTGTATTTATCTTGTCACTGTATGGAATCTAGGTATATCCAAGGAAAACTAAACTTAAGATAAACTTATTTTCCTTATTTCAAAAAGCAACAAAAACCCAGAAATCTAACAACCCTGGACCTGTAGAGCAGCAGCAGCAGAACAAAGCTCAGTAGTTTAGTCTGAGCTGGGGCACCTGCTCGCCAGTGTTACTGTCTCCACCAGCCTGACCCCAGAGCATTTGATTTGTCTACCCTACTCTTGCCTTCTACAGAACTAAAACTAACTTCCTGCAACTTTCACCCATTGCTGCCAGGTCTGCAGCACAATGGAAGCTCATTCCCTCTTCTGCACGAGATAGCTTCAGCTTCTCAAAGACAGGAATCTTGCTCTCTCCCCAGATGGTCTCTTCTCCAGTTAAATATCCCCAGTTCCTTCAACTATTCCCTGTGTGATAGGGGTTCTGGACTCATCACCATTCTGGTCTCTTCTTCTGGATACACACTTAGTGGCCATCAATATCTTGCTTAAATTTGGTACCCAGAGTGAAATGCAACATGTTAGGGGTATTCTGACTATGGCTGTGACACTTCTACTGATAAAACCTGAAGTACCACTAATTTTTCTGTGTTATATAATAACAACATGAATACTAGTTGGTTCATATTGAACCTGAGGACAACTGAAATCCTCAAGTCTTTTTCATATGAAATGATATAAGGCCAGGTTTCTTCAGCCCAAACTTCTACAACTTATTTAATTTGAATGAGTATATTTCTAATCTGTTTACTTTCTTCTTGATGGCGTCACTCTGGGACTGTTTTCAGTTGCCACTGTCATCTATTATATTAGCAATATTGGGTTGCTGCATCCTCAAATCAGATGTTCCTGATACCTTCATCCAAATCACTGATTTTAAAAATAAAGTTAAATAAGACAGAGCCCTATGAAATATCAATAGAGACCAAAATCACATTAATTCAGCAGTCAACAATTTGTTTAAATATCTGAATAGATGTCCATGTACTACACCATCAAGGCCATATTTTTCTTATTACAAAGTTGTTAGGAAACCCTCTCAGGAACCAATTTATACCATCGATTCCATTCCTCTCTCTGACCTTGTAATGTTAACATCCTTATCAAAAGAGGAACTAGCTGGGAGCGGTGGCCCACGCCTGGAATCTCAGCACTTTGGGAGGCCGAGGTGTATCAGGGGAACCCACCCCCGATAGTTAACATGGGTTCTTTTCTATTTCCCTAAGTGTCTAGGCTGGTTTGAGAAATAAAGGGAAAGAGTACAAAAGAAATTTTAAAGCTGGATGTCCGGGGGAGACATCACATGTTGGCAGGTTCCGTGATGCTCCCCACGCCGTAAAACCAGCAAGTTTTTATTAGCAATTTTCAAAAGGGGAGGGAGTGCACGAATAGGGTGTGGGTCACAGAGATCACATGCTTCACAAGGTAATAAAATATCACAAAGCAAGTGGAGGCAGGGCGAGATCACAGGACCACAGGATGGGGCGAAATGAAAATTGCTAATGAAGTTTCGGCATGCATTGTCATTGATAATATCTTATCAGGAGACAGGGTTTGAGAGCAGACAATCTGTCTGACCAAAATTTATTAGGTGGGAATTTCCTCATCCTGATAAGCCTGGGAGCTCTACAGGAGACTGGGGCTTATCTCATCCCTTGACCATAAAAGACGGACGCCTCCCAGGTGGCTGTTTATAGACCTACCCTCAGGGCGCATTCTCTTTCTCGGGGATTTCCTTGCTGAGAAAAAGAATTCAGCGATATTTCTCCTATGTGCCTTTGAAAGAAGAGAAATATGGCTCTGTTCTGTCGGCTCACCAGCAGTCAAGAGTCCAAAGTCTTATCTCCCTTGTTCCCTGAACATTGCTGCTATCCTGTTCTTTTTTTCAAGGTGCCCAGATTTCATACTGTTCAAACACACGTGCTCTACAAACAATTTTTGCAGTTAACGCAATCATCACAGGGTCCTGAGGTGACATACATCCTACTCAGCTTATGAAGATGATGGGATTAAGAGATTGAAGACAGACATAGGAAATCACAAGGGTATTGACTGGGGAAGTGATAAGTGTCCACGAAATCTTCACAATTTATGTTCAGAGATTGCAGTAAAGACAGGCGTAAGAAATTATAAAAATATTAATTTGGGGAACTAATAAATGTCCATGAAATCTTCACAATTTATGTTCTTCTGCCGCAGCTTCAGCTGGTCCCTCCGTTTGGGGTCCCTGACTTCCAGCAACAGAGGTGGGCAGATTACCTGAGGTCAGGAGTTCAAGACCAGCCTGGCCAACAAGGCGAAACCCCTTCTCTACTAAAAATACAAAATTAGCCAGGCATAGTGACTTGTGCCTGTAGTCCCAGCTGCTTGGGAGGCTGAGGCATGAGAATCGCTTGAACCCAGGAGGTAGAGGTTGCAGAGTGAGCTGAGATCACACCACCGCACTCTGGCCTGGGTAACAAGAGTAACTATCTCAGAAAAAAAAAAAAAAGGCAACTATTTGGCGACTACCTCCTTTTGCAAGTACTTATAAACCATTTTGCTACATATACACATTAAGCTTGTCAAAATCTGCAATTTCCCCATTTCTGAAAATCAGGATATTAGAAGACATTAGCTTTTTTTTTTTGCTAAAGACCAGCTGGCTACTTTGGGTATGTCCATCCTATCCTTTCAATCTTCACCTAATGGAAGTAAACTTAAGATCATAAAGAAATTCTATTTAGGCAGAATTAAGGACTCAGGAGAACAAGGAGACAGAAATTATCCATGTAGAACAAAGAGCTTGCCAACACTGAAAAACCTGACACAAAGCCTGTTAGGCAGTAAATGGCAGACATTTCTTTCTCTACATTAAAACTGATTTTCAACATGAAAAGCAGATTTACAGGGAACCTTTAGGGTAACCACACTTAATGCATTATTGATCCAGTGACTATCTCAAAACAGGAAAAGATTTTTAAGTAAGTTGACCATTTGGAAACCACTGGGTATGTCAAGGTCATCTCGTAGAAAAGCCCAAGTTCTTAGGATCTCTGAAGAGCTCTCAAAAGCAGTCACAGTCCCAAGAAGCTGGTCCTCTAAGAATCATTTTGGGACTCTTCGGAGTTCATTCATCAGCCAAAGAGCACCAGTGAGCAAAGCCAAGGAGCCTGACTGGTGAGTGGCGGCCAGAGGAGTTGGGACGTACATCAGCAGCGTGCTGATGCCCAAGCCCACCTGTCACAAAGGAAAGAAGGCAATAGGAAAGGCAGTAACCCAAAGTTCACATTGAAAATGACCAGGCATGGATAACCACACACAAACCTCCACATCCTCCTATCAGAGCACTTAAAATACACACATTTTTAATTTCACAAGCAAATATGCTTACAATGAAAGAAATTCGACCAAAATTGATAACCCTAAAATTCCCCTTAATTATCCTTCATTCCATCCCAGTTCCCCAGAGCAGTCACTGTTACCAGTTTCTGCACCCTTGTACTTTAATATGTTTATAGAGAAATATATAGTTTTGTGCTTTTAAAAAACATATTGTTTTATCACTTGCTTTTTTTCATTTAGCAATATACGGTATGTATTGAGATCTTATTAAACTGCTGTGCAGTATCACATAGTATGGATATACCATAGTTTTGTTTTGTTTTGTTTTGTTTTGTTTTGTTTTGTCTTGAGACAGAGTTTCACTCTGTCTGCCAGGCTGGAGTGCAATGGCATGATCTCGGCTCACTGCAACCTCCACCTCCAGGGCTCAAGCAATTCTCCTGCCTCAGCCTCCCGAGTAGCTAGGATCACACGTGTGTGCCACCACGCCCAGCTAATTTTTGTATTGTTTAGTTGAGATGGAGTTTTGCTATGTCAGCCAGGCTGGTCTCGAACTCCTGACCTCAGTAATCCACCCACCTTGGCCTTTCCCAAAGTGCTGGGATTACAGGCGTGAGCCACTGTGCCCAGCCCAGAGTTTTTTAACTGTTTAGGTTGTTTCCAATTTTTCACTACCACAATTCTATGATGAATTTTCTCATATAAAAGTCTTTGTGCATTGGACTGTTTCTAGGACAGACACTAATAAGTCCATTTGCTGGGCCAAAGAATTATCCATTTAACTTTTAAAAGATATTGCCAGCCTGGGTGACAGAGTGAGACTCCGTCTCCAAAAAAAATAAAAAAAGATATTGCCAAATTGCCCTCTGGGAAAAACTGTACTAACTCATGCTCTCACCAAGAATATCTGAAGGTATCCATTTTCCTATGCCCATGGCAATACCTGATTTTTTTTTTTCATTTTTTTCCA